GACTGAAACCGCCCACCCTGGCCAGGCACCATAGTAATAATTTGCATGAGTTGTTTTATAACAGGAGATCCTAGTAAGGAGCCTTTCCTGGTGGCTCAAATGGTAAAGAATCTGCCTGCACTGTGGGAGACCTGGGTTTGATCCCTGGGTTGGGAAGAGCCCCTGGAGGAGGGCATGGCAACCCACCGTAGTATTCCTACCTGGAGAATCCCCATGAACAGAGGTGCTTGGCAGCTTACAGTCCATGGGGTGAGGAACACAGAACTAACGAAGCACCACCAACTGGAAGAACTCAGGAAAGGTCAAAAGGAGATACCACATGTCCTATCAAACTCCCAGAATCCTCCTTGCTGGAATCCGTCTTGGCTGAGCAGAGAGAGCACCACAAGGAAGGACCCTGAGTCAGAGCAAGTGGCCAGAGACACTCAATTTTTCTGGCCTTTTCCTGCATCTGTGTGACACAGTTCCAACCAGATGTAAGCAAAAACCTGCAGGGGGTACTTCTGGACAAGCCCTTGCTTGAACAAGGTAAAAATGCATGGAGTGGAGGCAGTGAGCCATAACATGACCCTCAGGGAAAGGCAAAAAATCTGCATACATACTGGCCCTTGTACTCCCCAGGTCAGTAAGTGCCCAATATGCTACTGGAGCTCAGGGGAGAAATAACTCCAAGAAGAATGAAGAGACAGAGCCAAAGCAAAAACAACAGCCAGTTATGGATGTAACTGGTGATGGAAGTAAAGTCCGATGCTGTAAAGAGCAATGCTGCATAGGAACCTGGAATGTTAGGTCCATGAATCAAGGCAAATTGGAAGTGGTCAAACAGGAGATGACAAGAGTGAACATTGACATTTTAGGAATCAGCGAACTAAAATTGACTGAAATGGGTGAATTTAACTCAGAAAACCATTATATCTACTACTGTGGGCAAGAATCCCTTAGAAGAAATGGAGTAGCCATCATAGTCAAAAGAGTCCAAAATTCAGTACTCGGATGAATCTCAAAAACAACAGAATGATCTCTGTTCATTTCCAAGGTAAACCATTCAATACCACAGTAATCCAAGTCTATGCCCTGACCAGTAACGCTGAAGAAGCTGAAGCCGAATGGTTCTATGAAGACCTACAAGACCTTCTAGAATTAACACCCAAAAAAGATGTCCTCTTCATTATAGGGGACTGGAATGCAAAAGTAGGAAGTCAAGAAATACCTGGAGTGACAGGCAAATTTGGTCTTGGAGTACAGAATGAAGCAGGGCAAAGGCTAATAGAGTTTTGCCAAGAGAATGCACTGGTCATAGCAAACACCCTCTTCCAACAACACAGGAGAAGACTCTACACATGACATCACCAGATGGTCAACACTGAAATCAGATTGATTATTTTCTTTGCAGCCAAAGATGTAGAAGCTCAATACAGTCAGCAAAAACAAGACCGGGAGCTGACTGTGGCTCAGCTCATGAACTCCTTATTGCCAAATTCAGACTTAAATTGAAGAAAGTAAGGAAAACCACTAGACCATTCAAGTATAACCCAAATAAATCCCTTATGATTACACAGTGGAAGTGAAAAATAGATTCAAGGGATTAGATCTGATAGAGTGCCTGAAGAACTATGGATGGAGGTTCATGACATTGTACAGGAGGCAGGGATTAAGACCATCCCCAAGAAAAGGAAATGCAAAAAGGCAAAATGGTTGTCTGAGGAGGCCTTACACATAGCTGTGAAAAGAAGAGAAGCAAAAGGCAAAGGACAAAAGAAAAGAAAAGATATACCCAATTGAATGCAGAGTTCCAAAGAAAAGCAAGGAGAGATAAGAAAGCCTTCCTCAGGGGTCAGTGCAAAGAAATAGAGGCAAACAATAGAATGGGAAAGACTAGAGATCTCTTCAAGAAAATTAGACATACCAAGGGAACATTTCATGTAAAGATGGGCACAATAAAGGACAGAAATAGTATGGACCTAACAGAATCAGAAGATATTAAGAAGAGGTGGCAAGAATACATAGAAGAATTATACAAAAAAGATCACGGCTCAGATAATCACGATGGTGTGATCACTCACCTAGAGCCAGACATCCTGGAATGTGGAGTCAAGTGGGCCTTAGGAAGCATCACTATGAACAAAACTAGTGGAGGTGATGGAATTCCAGTGAAGCTATTTCAAGTCCTAAAAGATGATGCTGTGAAAGTGCTGCACTCAATATGCCAGCAAATTTGGAAAACTCAGCAGTGGCTACAGGACTTCCTGGAAAAGGTCAGTTTTCATTTCAATCCCAAAGGAAGGCAAAGCCAAAGAATACTCAAACTACCACACAATTGCACTCATCTCACACACTAGCAAAGTAATGCTCAAAATTCTCCAAGCCAGGCTTCAGCAGTTTGTGAACCATGAACTTCCAGATGTTCAAGCTGGATTTAGAAAAGGCAGAGGAACCAGAGATTAAATTGCCAACATCCGTTGGATCATCAAAAAAGCAAGAGAGTTCCAGAAAAAACATCTACTTCTGCTTTATTGACTATGCCAAAAGCTTTGACTGTGTGGATCACAACAAACTGTGGAAAATTCTTCAAGAGATGGGAATACCAGACCACCTGACCTGCCTCTTGAGAAACCTATATGCAGGTCAGGAAGCAACAGTTAGAACTGGACATGGAACAACAGACTGGTTCCAAATCAGGAAAGGAGTACGTTAAAGCTGTATATCGTCACCCTGCTTATTTAACTTCTATGCAGAGTACATTATGAGAAACGCTGGGCTGGATGAAGCACAAGCTGGAATCAAGATTGCTGGGAGAAATATCAATAACCTCAGATATGCAGATGATACCACCTTTATGGCAGAAAGTGAAGAAGAACTAAAGAGCCTCTTGATGAAAGTAAAAAAGTTGGCTTAAAACTCAACATTCAGAAAACGAAGATCATGGCATCTGGTCCCATCACTTCATGGCAAATAGCTGGGGAAACAATGGAAACAGTGACAGACTTTATCTTTTTGGGTCCAAAGTCACTGCAGATGGTGACTGCAGCCATGAAATTAAAAGACACTTGCTTTTTGGAAGAAAAGTTATGACCAACCTGGACAGCATATTAAAAAGCAGAGACATTACTTTGCCAACAAAGGTCTGTCTAGTCAAAGCTATAGTTTTTGCAGTAGTCATGTATGGATGTGAGAGTTGGACTACAAAGAAAGTTGAGTGCAGAAGAATTGATGCTTTTGAACTGTGGTGTTGGAGAAGACTCTTGAGAATCCCTTGGACTGCAAGGAGATCCAACCAGTCCATCCTAAAGGAAATCAATCCTGAATATTCATTGGAAGAACTGATGCTGAAGCTGAAATTTCAGTACTTTTGCCACCTGATGCAAAGAACTTACTCATTTGAAAAGACCCTGAGCCTGGGAAAGATTGATGGTGGGAGGAGAAGGGGACTACAGAGGATGGGATGGTTGGATGACATCACTGACTCAATGGAGGTGAGTTTGAGTAAACTCCAGGAGTTGGTGATGGACAGGGAGGCCTGGCATGCTGCAGTTCATGAGGTCACAAAGAGTCGGACGCAACTGAGCGACTGAACTGTACTGAACTGAACTCCTCCAGGCTTCCAATCCTGTAAGAAAAATAAACTTTTACTTGTTTAAGTCATTGATAAGCTTTCTGTAGCTGATAAGGACCACTCTTCTTCACCCCACCCACTTCTTCCACCTTCTGTCTTTATTTTCCACAGATAACCATCCTCCTCCTTTACAGAGAACCGTCTACAGCTAGTCTTTCGCTTACTTTCTTGCCCCCAAATCTACCCACACTTACCTGCATCCATACCCATCGTGACCCCTCTTCCCTTTCTTTATAATAGAAGAGCGTGTCCCTACTGCATGGACAGGGGAGTGGTGGGGTAAATGGGGAGATGCCAATCTTGCATACATTGTGTCTTCCTCTGTCTGTTTTGGTATTCTGACTCATCCTCAGGTTTTGGGCTTCTATTTCTCATCAGTTATGTAGCCTTAAATAGGCCATTAAAGTAGTACATATTTTATCCAGCACATTCTCAGCTCTGCCCAATAAAGTTACTGCAGTGGTGCTGGGCTTTGCCAGCGAAAGAGACAGTCCTCCGGAAGAGAAGGGAAACTATTCACGAGGCAGGGAGCCTAGGAGGAACTGAAAGTCACAGTGTGGCAGGGAGGAAAGAGTGCAGAAGGGGCTCAGGAGGCAGGGCTGAAGAGGAAGGCAGGGGCCAGTGAGCTGGGGTCCTATACACCAGACAGGGTAATAATTGGTTTTAACCCTAATCATCATCATCAGAAGAAAAGCGAGCTCCCTGAGCCTCAATTTCTACGTTGGAAAATGTGTCTTAGAACTATCTGCTTCATTGTCAGCCTCCATTGTCAGCTGGAGAGTTCCTTAAGGGCAAAGGCTTTTATTTTCACGCATTTCTGTACCCACGTGGGTATTTGCCAACTGACACTCAATAAATGCCGGTTGGAGGAATAAATGAGATTTTGGAGTCCTCCGCAGACGTTACTTATCAGGTCAAGTGATGAAAACTTTTTCCTTTCTCCTCATCCTTTTCCGGGCCCGCACCCTTCTTCCCTCTCTCCTCCCAAGACCCCTCCAACCCTTTCCCGCTTCCCGCCTCCCCTTCCCAGCCCCGCCCCTTCGCTGCGCCGCGGAGGCGGAGCGGGCCAGGCGGGCTTTACGGCATCCGCGTTGCGGCGGGGCGGGGCGCCGGGCGGCCGGCGTGCTTGGCGGCAGCGGTGGGAGGCAGGCCGGCAGGCAGGCAGGCAGACGGAGTCGCAGGCGGGTGGTGGCGGCCGTGCTTGCTGGTGAGGGCGGGAGGGAGTGAGTCACTGAGCGTGTGTGAGGGAGGGAAGGAGCGAGCGGGCGGGCGGGCGAGCGAGCAACCCGCGCCGTCAGCCTGCAGCACCAGCCAGGCCCCGCCGCTGCCGCCGCCCCGTCGCTCCGCGCCGAGGCCGGGCCGAGCCGAGCTGGGTCGGGCCCGGGCCATGCTGCTCACCGTGTACTGTGTGCGGAGGGACCTCTCCGAGGTGACCTTTTCCCTCCAGGTCGACGCCGACTTTGAGCTGCACAACTTCCGCGCTCTGTGTGAGCTCGAGTCCGGCATTCCCGCGGCTGAGAGCCAGGTACGCTGGGCAGCGATCGGGGCCTCCCTGCGGAGCTATCCCTCCCGCCTTGGGGCCTCACGCCCTCCCTTTGCTGCTGGTGAGGAATTGGGGAGGTGGAGGGGAAGCAGGATGGCCATTCCCAGCCCACCCCCGCATCCGGGAGAGAGCTGGAATCGGTAGCTGCCCCCACACACCCCGAGCTTGGGGTGGGGTGCTGGGGGAGGGAGCGGAGAACCTGACCGCACACGCACCCACTGCAGCCTGATAGGCGCGTGGACTGTGGGGCGCGTCCCACCTTCTGGCTCTTTGGCCCCTTCTCTAATTTCCTGAGTTTGGGGTGTCATCGCGGACCTAAGAAGAAGCCGTAGGTTTGCGAGAGTTTATACATCCTGCTTCCCCAACCAGAAATACCAGTTTAGATCTCTGTGGTAAATGTTCACCTGTTTTTTTGGAGAGGGCTCCTGCCCAAGTAAACTTCATTTACCTTTAAATATAAAGATTTACGCTCTAAGTGAAAGGAAAAGTTTGAGACTTGCACCGCCTTGTTTTGAAGCCTTTGGAAATTCTCTTTTTCCCTGCCCCATGCGTTTCTGGTTAAATTATTATTTTTAAAGTAATTATTAGTTCACCTGAACTATTTCTCTGGTCTCTTCCCCCGTAGTGCGTCAAGATTCCTTTCTTTTAGATCCCAGTTAAGAGTCTGGGAGAGTTCAAAGCTGAGTACTTTATGAGGATATTTGCTTTAAAATGGGCCTCAGTGTGATTGGGTTGTTTCATTTCCCTTAGCCTGCTGGAAAGAAATTCGACTGCTCTTACATTTTAAGTAAGCCAAGTAATTTATTCCCAAAAAATGCGTGTAGTCTGCCACCAAACAGAATTGGTGACTATAACTCCCTGGCCTTCACACTAAAACATAAATCCTGACTTGATAAGTGGACCTTGAAGGACATAGTCTAAACATTAATAAAATTATAAAAGTTGTCCAAGGCCCTAGAAGGTAAATCTTGATTTCCTACTGCAATTATGAAATAGTTCCAAAAACTGTTGCCTCATTACAGCTTGTTCTGCCCTGTGTTATGGCAAACAAATGTGTCAATATTTTGTTCCGAAGTATGATTCCTTTACACTTTGAACTTTAGAACGTTGGCATAAGCTGAGCATCAGGAAAGACTATTTTGGGTCACAGTGTGTCACTCAAATTGACATTCTGGCAAAATATACAGAGTTATTGATAAAAGGGATTTCTTGGAACTTCTAGAAAGGCATCCAGAAAAACTCAGGATCCACTTCCTGTCAGTAAATCCCTCAGGTACAGAGCTACAAAACAGTTTAAGTGGGCAGGGAAAATCAACTCAGATTTTTTAAGGTGGCTTTTTCAGTTGTTCTCTTCCCTTTGGCTGTTCTTTTACCCTGCTTACAATCACCAGTTGGTTAAGTGGACTAAAAAAATGTGAATTGACTTTGTTGTTGGGCTTGGGAGAAGACAAAGATTGTGATTTCTGTATTCCTGCACTTTTTGAGATGGTTGTAGTCAAAAATGTAAATAAATTGAAGAGAATGTCAGAGTGAAAGACGATTAATTGTATGGTCAAGGCAAGCACTGCCCTCCTGCGAGACAGGTTCGGAATACCTTACTAATTGACCATTTAGGCTAAGTCCAAATGCTTTCTTATTCATTGTCAATGTTTTGGCATTTACTTCCTTCCCAAGCCAAATTAGCATATGGAAACCTGGTCTCCAACCAGTGTTAAGCCTGTCGTACGCAGCCAGTAAACAACTCCTGTTTTTCAAGTTTCTTCTGTTGGCTCCATTGTAACCCAACGCAGTGTCTATTTTAGGTTGTCTGGTGGTCGGTTGTCTTTCAGTTGCTTGCCCATCAGGCAGGAACAGGATCCACCCTAGACACTTGAGTCATTTCCTTTCACCAAATCATAATAGTAAACATCATTGTAGTTTTTATACACATACATATTATTTTCACTTACTTGGGGTATTCCCTTCTCCTTTACTTCCCAGGATTCTCCCCTGTTATTCACCTCCCCCTCCTCCCTCTCTAAGTTCTTCTGGTCTCTTTACCTTTACTGTTCTTATTTACCTTCTCTGTTCTCATTCCTTCACTTCCATTTCTGATCCTGTATCTAAAGGGGATTTTTTTTTCTTGTTCCACACTATTTCTTCCTGTCACTGTGTTTTCAGACCACTGGTCTGCAAACTTTTTTGCTTATGTACCCTTCTAAGTAAAATGTTTTGAAATATTCATCTTTGTGATACATATAACTAATATATATGAACTAGTGGCATATGTATACTATGAATGCTTGTATATTACATGTATGGATAATAGCTGTAAACATCAGTTATATACATGAAGTAATTCCTTAGGTACAGTATAAACAGGCCCAGGATAGAATTTAAGGAAGGATAAACTAAAATAGAAATGAAAATTCTAATATTTTCTATTTTCTTCCTGCATCCTTGAAGAACTGTCTTGAATGTCTGACCCACATTAAGGATCACTGGTTTATAATACAGTTTTTCAAGATTGGCATGGATTGTGCATGAGGGTACAATGGGAAAGGGTGTTAATTTTTAACAGCTCTAGTCATTGTAGTAGTTAAAATGCAGTGATAACAAATTTAGAATAGACACAATCTCTATTTGTACATGTGATTAAAGCTGGGCACGTTCCATCTCTTAACACAAGTGTGGGCTTGGAAGCCAGGCATAGCCCTGTTTGATGCTTTGATGCAGACTTGGCTGGAGAAATTTCAAACAATTGTAGGAACTTAACTTCACTTGCAATTAATATCTTTGCATTTTTGAAACATTGTTATAATTTACCCATGTAGGTGGCATGTGGTTAACAAAAAAAAGTGTGCAAGGTGTAGGTGTGTAAGTACTCTCAAATGAAAGGCATATTTAAATAATATAATATTATAAATATTTATAATATATAATATTAATTTATATTATAAATATAATATATATAATATAAATATTTATAAATATATTATAAATAATAGCAGTAACTGTATGATCCTGGAAATGAAGCTGCACACAGCATGTTCTGTGGTTTGTAAAACACTATTTTAAACCAATAGAAACTGAAAATTTCTTTTGTAGCTGATTTTGGCATGCTTGTTTTCACAGGTAATTTTCATGTATTTCTTTTCTATTAAATACTAGGTGTTCATTACAGAAAACTTGTAACATACATAAAAGGAAGAAGAAAAACACTATTATTTATTACCTTATAACTCAGATTGCTGCAGTTTATATCTTAGTATATTTTTAGTATATTTTTTTCTTCTTATATAGTTAAAATATATCTTTTAAACATATAGCCAGAACTGTAGTAAACAATTTCATCCCTTACTTTGTTTAGTTAAAGTACATTGTCAACATTTTCCCATAACAGTTCAGATTTTTTTTCTTTCATTTTTTTTTTTTTTTACTGCACTGCACAGCATGTAGAAGTCTTAGTTCCACAACCAGGAATTAAATCTGTGCCCCCTGCAGTGGAAGCTCAGGGTCTTAACCACCAGAATGCCATGGAAGCCCCTCCCATTAACATTCAAATCCTCACAATTTATCATTTTAATGGCCACATGATTTATCATCATATAGATGTATTACAATTTATTTAATAGCTTCCCTATTGCTGGGCATTTTAATTGGGGGCATTTCGAAGCAGTTTTGAATAACATTTCCATGGATACCTTTATACTTAAGGCTTTGTTCCCATTTCTGATTGTTTTCTTAGGATAAATTCTTAGATATGAAATTGCCAGATTTTTGAGAGGCTTTTAGTAACTGTTGCCAAATTATCTTCCAGAAGGGTTGTAAAAGTCAAGCTGACTGTTAACATGGGATAGTATGTGTAGATCACTTGGTATATAGTGCATTTTCAGTTAATGGTAGATAATATTATGAAGCTGTTCAAATTTGATTCTAAGGGTTTTGTGACTGTTGTATGATCCTTACTGCTAGAAATGTATTGTTATGATACCTGTTGATTGATTGATGTCACTCATTCAGAGACCAGGAAACTGGAAACTGTTGACATCCTACTTAAAGGTTCTGGAGTCATATTAATTAGTCTATCGCTGAATGTTGGCTAAGATGAGAATTCAGTCTCCAGGGTGTCTACGCTGGAGTAAGTACTAAGAGTTGAGCCAGTTTTGGAGATTAAGGCTTGTAGCTATATAAATCTTCCTGTTGTATGTTCTTATAAATGGAGCCTTATAATCTTTAAGCTGCATATTATGAATGGTGGAAAACATCACCAGTGCCATTATCAAAACTTGTTTTAACTGGTAGAAATTTGAAACCATTTATCTCCTGGAGTCTCATATTAAGTTGAAAAATCATTCAGACTTATTCTGGGACGTGGGTTGCAGAATAATTGTTCCTTAGATTCTTAAGCCTGTTTTAACAACAATAATAACAACAACAAAAGTTCTTTGTGGCAGTTATAATTTCAGTTAAGCTACTATCTCATCTATGCCCTTGGACTAGAATGGTATACATCTGCTGCTTTGTCAGTATGAAGAATATTTGCTCCTTACCCACATTCTCCAGTCTAGTGTTTTTAGGAAATTGGAGCAGATAGCAGTCTTCCATATTTCATGTACATGTTTGAGGGTCATGACTACCTGAATCTTGTATTTTTATTGTTAGATCAGGCCACCTGCTTCTTAAATTATGTTGTCCACTGAGGAAAAACTGTTTAGCTAAACAGTGATAGATTGATGTATGGCATCTGTAAAATGGGAATCCAAAGAGTGAGGTGTTGCTAGTGCTCCTTTCTTCCTATTCAGGGCAAGGGGTACATTGGACAGTGGACGTGTTTTGATCCCCTGGTGAGTAGAGGCCTTTAGTGGTGCACGTGTACGTGCTCAGTCGTGTCCGACTCTTTGTGACCCCATGACTGTAGCCCGCCATGTTCCTCTGTCCATGGGATTTCCCAGGCAAGAATTTAGGAGTGATTGCCATTTCCTCCTTCAGGGGATCTTCCCAACCAAGGGATCGAACCTGCATCTACTTTATCTCTGTGTTGGCAGGCAGATTGTTTACCACTGAGCCACCTTTAGTGGTGATGGGTGGCTTAATAGCTCCTGGAAAGGTCACCCGGCTAATTCACCAGGCCACGTTGGACTTCTGTTTGGGAAAGTTGTGTGGTTCTAGGGAAGAGTGTGGCTGTAAAGTCAGGCAGATGTGGTCCCAGTCCCAGTTCTCTTAATAGTCTTAGAGCCTCAGGTCACTTAAACTGTCTATCAAATGAGACAGTTAATGTCTGTTTCATAAGATGGTTGTGAGACTTAGACAAGAGAATATGAGGATTAGGCGAGAAACTGTGAGGACCTAGTAAGATGCTGGCTCTGGTAGGAGCTCACCCAGTGATAGCTGTCTGCTGTTTTAATATGGCTTTCCATGGAGTATTTCCAGCCTGAAGAAAATTCATTAGTCTTGTGGATTGGAGCATTCAGATTCTCCTGAGTTTGATTTCTTTGAGTAGGTAAGTAAATGTTCTTTTATAAGAAGTGCAGTTAGAACCTGTTGACTGATTATGTGTTTCTAAATATACTGGTAGTTGAATTTCTGATCCTGGAAAATTGAATTTCTTACCCAGTAGGCCTTAGGCCACTGGTGCCTCCATTATGGTTGCTTCACAGAGTTGAAGCCCCTCTGTTGGAGCTGGCTGCATAACATTTCTCTTGGTATGCTTCTTACTGCACACCTCAACCCAGGACACTTGTCACTTCAGATTTGTGGTTGTTTTTAAAGCAGTCCCAGAAGTTATAATACGACTCTGAGATTGTATTGCAAACCATCTGTGTTGATTCTGATGTACTTTTACTATGAGATACATGCTTAAGTGGGCTTCCCAGGTGGCTCAATAGTAAAGAATCCACCTGCCAATGCAGGAGATGGAAGATGTGGGTTTGATCCCTGGGTTGAGAAGATCCCCTGGAGTAGGAAATGGCAGCCTGCTCCAGTATTCTTGCCTGGATAGAGAAGCCTGGGGGCTAATGGACACCACTGAGCAACTGAGCACAGTAGACAAGGTGCTTATTAAATTAAGTAAGGGAGTGTGAATAGGTTGATAGAATAACAGTTGCAATCTGTTGTAACATGTTTTAACTTTGCAGGTGAGGGTAAGAACTAACAATACTTTATCTAGTCCTGTACAGAACTTATAAAATAGAATTCAAGCTACAAACTCTGCAAATCCTTCTTTTTGGCTCAACCCTGGAAGTATTTGATTTTGGAAGCAACTAAATTCAGTTTCTTCTATTTCTTATGTAAGTGCAGATTCTGAGAGCAGATATGGCAGATCTTTTTTTTTCCCCCAGTTTAAATCCCCTATTTTTCAGGTTCTGTGTCGGGCAGTTTTGCTCTGGGAGCCATGAGAACATGTGAGGAAACATTATAAAACGGTAGTATAACAGAAAGACCGGGAAGGGACAGCTGTGTGTAGGTATGATTATCTAGCCGCAGCTACATGCCTGACAAACGGAAAGTGTGAAGCCCAGACCAACTGAGTGATGGGGGCCTTGTCAGAGTCAGGACAGAACTCAGGTTCCTCGGTTTACCAGTGGCCTCGTGGAAAGTGAATCATTAGGGAGAAAACCATTCAGAGCCTCTGTTTATTCTGAATACCTCTCTACGGAGTAGGTCATAATGCAAGGAGGCTATTATGTTCCTTCGTGGTAAAATCACAGCGTGTCCATTGTGTGTCTCTTGTTCTTTTCACAGGCCGTTGTTCCATCTGTTTTTATGCTCTCAGGCTTTCTTCAGTGTTTGCTTGCACATGATACAAATATTTTTATTATTGTACATCCCTGATCCTGTTTTTCATCTGTGTTCAATTATGCTTTTCTGAATTTCTTCCACTTTTATCTTCTACTCATAAACATAAGAGTGATAAAAGTTTGAGGATGGTTGAAGAGAAGGAAGAACTTGCTCTTTGGAACCTCTCAGTCTTGCCACAGTGGGAGAGGATTTAAAGGTGGACACATGATGGGTACTTTACTGGTGGGCCAGTGGCTAAGACTCCCAGAGCAGAGGCCCGACTTCAGTCCTTGGTCAGGGAACTAGATCCCATTGGTGCCTCAACTAAGACCCAGCACAACCAAACAACAACAACAAAAAGAAATGGACATGTGGGGATGTCATGTCTTGCAGGGTGACTGGAATTAATGCTGATCATGTTTTTGAAAGTTGCTAAGGGTAGATCTTAAAAGTTCTTATCACAAGAGGAAAATTTTTATAACTCTGTGAGGTAACAGACGTTAACAGAATGTATAGTGATCATTTTACATTACATACATATATGAAATTATTGTGTGTACAACCAAAACTAATACAGTATTGTATGTCCATTATATCTCACTAAAACTTGTGATTGGGGAGTCAACATATTATTTAATAGTATTGTAGTTATCATCCCTAGAACTAATCATTCCCATTTCCCTCTCTGCTAAATATTAAATCTAAAATTGTCTACCTCCCAAAGATCCATTTGTCCTTTAATTCAGCTAATACTTGGGCATTATTCCTCTTCCAGGCCCCTGTTCTAGGCATTTTGGATATGGTGAAAAAAGCAAAGTCCTTGTCTTCAGAGAATCTTACTATTTCACGGGGCAGAGAGACCATAAAGAAACAATTATATAATATGGGAAGTGAGGGTGTGTTTTAAGTAGGGTCATTAGGGAAGGACTCTGAAGGGGTAATGTTTGATCAGAAACCTTAAGAAAAAAAATAACCTGGGAAAGAACATTCCTCAGGTAAAGAGAACAACAAGTGAAACAGCTTGAGGGGGAAGTTGCTGGTGTTATTTGAGGAACAGTAATCATGGTATGAGATGAGGTCGTGGGGGAACCAGGGACCAAACTATTTGGGCCTTAACGGGAAGGATTTTGGCTTTTATTCTAGGTGTGATGGGAAATCGTTGGAGGGTTTGAGCAGGGAGTGACACTCTCCACAGAAGAGGAAAGCTGTGGTCTTTCTGTTCTGTGCTGCTAACTTCTCAGCGCTTTATGCTGTTCAAATCTTCTCTGGTTGTAGATTGTCTACGCTGAAAGGCCTCTCACAGACAACCACAGATCACTGGCGTCTTACGGCTTAAAAGATGGCGATGTTGTGATTTTACGACAGAAGGAGAATGCAGACCCTCGACCTTCGGTGCAGTTCCCAAGTAAGGCAGCTTATAATTTCATAGCCCTGGCGAGCGTTAGTAGATAGCATAGTTCCAAGTCTTGGATTTGCCTTGGATTCAGACTACAAGGATACAAATCCTGACCGTGCTGCTTGCTTGCTGGGTAACTTTGGACAAGTTAACTTCTCTGAGTCCATTTCCTCATTTATAAGATGGGTGCTGTAATTAACCACAACTCCTAGAGTTGATGGGAGAATAATGCATGTGAAACCTTCAGCACAGAGCAAGCCTTCTCAGTAAACGTTAGGTTCTGTTTTTATCAGCCATCATTTTATCCCGGGGAAGGACTTGAGAGGCTGCAGGTGCCTGTGCTTCATGGCTGACTTTTGGTGTTTTGTGTTTGGCCGTCAGTGACAGGCCTTTGCTGAGCATTTTACAGTCAGCCAGGCACTTGCACCCACATTTCATACCATAACTGTAATAGGAGAAAAGATATCTCTTGACAATTTCTTACCATTAGCAGATGAAGCTCTGATTTTTAAATAATCATTTCCAAAGTTGCATAGCTAGTAAGTGACAGCACAGGATTTAAAACTTGGTGCTTTCTCCATTACTCTGAGCCTTATGAACATTAAGCAGTTGGACCACCAAGTTCTGTTTTTTTCCCCACCAGCTTTGTTAATCATGAAAAAGAAACTGTTATTTGTTTTAGACACTACACCTAGAATCTGCATTGCAAATTAGGAAGTTTACATGTCCTTGAAATAGTGTGCAGAGTTGTGTGTATATCTGTGCATTTGATGAGGAGATGACCCATAACTTACTTCAGATTCTCAAAGTTTAGGTGTCTGGGTGATGAAAGACTCCAGTTTAGAACACAGTGCTTCCATTCAGCCTGAAACTGGAGCTATGAGAGACCGTCAAGTTCTGTTCCTTTCATTTCTGAATTATGTTATTCCCTGGGGGTTACTGTTAAACTTTAGAAAGAGAAGTGATTGAGATACGCCTGTCAGTCAAACCCAAATCTTCCTCTGGTCAATTTGGTGAAATTGTTAGTTCTGGAGATTCACTGTTTTTTGTTTTTCCTGACAGTGCCACAGGATCAAGAGAAGCCGCTAGATTTGGGAGGGGAGGCAGTCTGGTCTATAACGTAGACAGGTTTTTTCAAAATTATTCTGAAGTGAGTGGACTCTCAAGATAACAGAGTTGAGATGAAAATTTCTCAACCCATAAGGAGGACCCACCCAACCATGTATGTTTTGCTCGTTGACCTAGATTAGCTACTACTGCACAAAGATCATCTTATTCACTTCACTTTTTTCATTGGCTCAGAGTTCATGTGCATGTATACATACACACACACCCACTGCCCACTGAGGTCTGTTTGACAAAAAGTGCCTAGTTGAACCCATGCTTAGAGGCTGAAACTTCACACATGGGTATAAGCATTCCCTTTTTCTAGTTGCAGTCCAAAAGTCTTCAGGACAGCCCCAAACTTGGAACAGGTGCAGTCATCAGATACATTTTAGGATTGAAGAAATGTGGGTTCACTCAGTCTTAGCCCATCATTCTGGCTACAAACTTGGGTTCTGTGTTTATTTGTTTTCTTTTCCCTATTTAATAATACAGCTCTTTTTTTTTTTCCAATAGCAGCTTTATTGAGATATCATTCACTACCACACAGTTCACTCATTTAAAGGGTGCAAGTCATGATTTTTAGTATATTCAGAATTGTGCATCCATCACTATGATCAGTTTTAGCACATTTTCATCATCTTTACAAAAAATTGTGTACCCATTAGCAGTCATTCCCCATCTGCCCTCACACCTCCTGGCCCTCAACAACCATCAATCTACTTTCTGTCTCCATATTTTCCTATTCTGGACATTTCACAAATGGAATCATACAATATGTGGGTCCTTTGGGTAAAGCTCCCTTTTATTTTTCTTTCATTTTAATAAGGTCAGCTCACCCTGGAGTATGGAACCTGGGATGTGGGCTGTGAACCTGTGAAATCTTTCCGTGTGCTCAGCACTGAGAACCTGTGCGGTTCCTTTTCTTCTTTTTTTCTCTTCCGTGAAATGATTACACCCACTGGCTCCCCAGGGTATGAGAAGAGTTAGCAGTGATGCACAGATGAAAGCATAAATTCAAAGCACTAGTATGTGTAGCACATACTTGTAGAAGTTAACATCTAACATTCATTTGATATATATAGTATTCTTTACCCAGGATGTCAGGGCTTTTTGAAGCATATGTCAAAGCAGACTAGGATTTTTCTTAACCACATTCAGATTTATGTGGCTATATTTGAGACTGACTTTGATTTTTTTTTTCTTTTTTTTAAAAACATGAGTAAGTAAAAACTTTACTATCCTGGGATATTTTATCAACCCCAAATTTGAGATGATTACCATTGTCTCCTTATCCCTACCACCTCCCAAACTCCTGTTTTTCTCTTTCTATTCTTTCCTACCTGTTCAGTCTTGGACTGCAGTCTTTATATTCAGAGTCAGCATGAGAAAGAACCAAGGAAAGGGCATTCAGAATGTCTGTGGTTACCATCTACTACTAATACATACCATGTATGTGCAAATTGGCTGCTTCCTTCAAATACTTGTTCTTATGGAGTCATTTGAAGTAAACTTTGAATCAATTCTCCCCAACAGACTTACCCCGAATAGACTTCCGTAGCATAGCTGTGCCTGGCACGTCAAACACCCGGCAGCGCCAGCCACCAGGAGTACAGCAATCCCACTCAGCTCCTGGAGAAATAGCCTCATCTCCTCAGGGCTTGGACAATCCAGCCTTGCTCCGAGACATGTTGCTGGCCAACCCCCATGAGCTGTCCTTGCTGAAGGAACGCAATCCACCCTTGGCAGACGCTCTGCTCAGTGGAGATCTTGGTAAGCTTATAAAATTGGAAGGCCGTCAAGCTGACCTGAGGCAAGTGGTTTCACAGCAAATGGGGAGAAATTCAGGCAACTGGTCTGTTCAGTCCACTTGAGTCACATGACTTCTTGAACATATCAGTTGGTCTGTGAGAAGTAAATTTGTGCTGCTGTCAAAGATTGGTTAGTTGGCAATAGTGACAGAACTTTAAGGGTATCTAGAATTCTGAAACCCCACTCAACCAGTCCCCTTCGTTCCTCTTTTTTTTTTCCCCTGATTATTTTAGCAGCATATAACCCAGGTACAGATCTTTTTTAATTGGAGAATAGGTGATTTACAATATTGCTTTAGTTTCAGGTGTACCACATAGTGATTCAAGAGATTTTAATTTGTTTTTATGGGGGTTTTTTTTTTGCTTTTTTGCAGATACTATTTGTAATAGCCAGGTATTGGTATTTCGGTCTGTTTCGTTAGACCCTCAGTTAGAGTACCAGTTAACCAGCTGATGCCAGATGAAATGATTTTAGTTCAAGGAAAACAGGTCCGGTGGCATCAGCCTGTATGGCAGAATGCAACCCCTTTATTCCCATTCACCCCAAATTTAATGATAGTGGGACTGTCACCAACTGTCCAAAAGTTTATTTGGAGCTATATTTGAGCCATTCTTGTATTTAACAGAACATTCATTTTTAGTCATCTTTATGACAGTTTTCTCTGTAGATTTCTCCAGTTTTACTTGTGGGTTTGTGAAACCCTACTGATTAAATTTTAGAACAAACAGACACTTAATGATTCATTCCTCAGTAACCATCTTTAAAGTTTAGGTGATATTTCCCTATAAAGAAATACTTAGATTTTAAGCATACAGTTGATTGAGTTTTGATAAATTAATGTAACCAGCACCCTAGTCAAAATATAGAACATTTCTGTCCCCCCTGAAAGCTCCATTATGTTTTCTTCCAAGTCAGTTTCCACCCCTTATTGGCTCCCTCTATTCTTATACTTATCATGGGTCAGTTTTTTCTTAATTTTTATTTTGATATAAATGGAATCATATCTTATGTCCTTCCTTGTGTCAAGCTTCTTTCACTCAACTTGGTGTTTTTTAGATTCATCCATGCTGTGTGTATTAGTTCATATGACCATTATCTTGGTTTCTTTAATTTCTTTTGCAGCATATCTAATTGCCAAAGACCATGATGATGGCACTTTCACATTTATGCGTTTGAATGTACTCACTTCTAAGACATATCAAATAAAGGTGGTTCTTGTAACATACATCTTATCGCAAGCAGTGTTTTCTCTTTACTGATTTTTCTGCTTAGAATCCATCAGGTAATACAGATAGGCTAACAGTAGTTTGCTTATAATTTATCTGCTTTAAAGCAGAGAGTATTGTAAAAGAGACGAAACTAGAAGAGGAAAAGAGGGACGATAATGCTCTTTTTTTTTTTGGTAATGCTCTATTTTATTTCTAGGTAATAGGATAATAAAGGTGGGGAGAGGGGAGGGGAGGGTCATCTATCTGCCACACTGAGGGTCATTCTCCACTGATTTAAACTGAAAAGTCATCATCTCTGAGATGGTGTTTGCAAATACTTTATTTCTTTACACTAAATTTAGGTAAAAAAGTAATCTTTGCCTCCAAGAATAGAAAGTAAACGTTAATTGCTAATCTTAAATGATTTTTAGCCATCCTTTCTACATCTTTTACAGTTGTATCTTGAGAATTTGTTTGATGTGGAAAAGTACTAATAAAGAGAATATAATGATTCTTAAGATCACCACCACCACCCCCACCCCATTCTTGCAGAGAGATTTTCTAGGGTCCTGGTGGAGCAGCAACAGGACCGAGCCCGGAGAGAGCAAGAAAGGATTCGTCTCTTTTCTGCGGACCCTTTTGATCTTGAAGCTCAGGCAAAGATAGAAGAAGATATAAGGTAATAACTCCTTCGCCCAAAGAGCAAGATTTAGAGAATCTAGATTTCCCAAACTGCAGGTGATCTTATATTCTTTGGGCATCTGCTTTGAGGTGGATTCCTTACTCTGCACTTATGCAAAACCTACTGAAACAGTAGGTTCAATCTTCTGGTTTATTCTCTCTTCTTCCATTTTCCTTGCATTTTGATTCAACATTACAAAGGTACAGCTACCTAACTTAATGACTTTCTCTTCTAAAATTTTAATAAAGATTCCCTGACTTGGAGACTTTCCTGGAGGTCCTGTGGTTAAGACCCAGCACTTCCACCACAGGGGGCACAGGTTTACTCCCTGGTCGAGGAATTAAGATCTTGCATGCTGCACACAGCACTGAAAGCATAAAAATGACTCCCCGACTAACCCACAGCATGTTATTAAGGCAACTCCACGTCGATGCTCCCAGGACTGAGCAGAAGTCTCCAATTTGGTGAGACTAGTGGGCTGGCTACTCAAGCTCACTGGGCGCTCCTTAAACATAACACGCAAGCCCTGATTAAATTCAGGACTTGGACATGATTGCATTAGAGAGAACTGTGCAAAGAGAAGGCCATAGTATGACTAAGAACAGTGTAACTGTAACAGGACTACTCTTAGGGGCCTGATCATCATCTTTGGTTACTTAAAAGAAGCCTAAAAAAAGCCTGACTTGGTCATTGTCAACTTGGAAGTCAAATAAAGGTTTTCTTATTTCTCTGAGTACCTCTGAAACCAAAGAAATGTAAATACGCCAGAATCGGTTAACAGCCCTAAGCCATTCCTGTGTTCTTGTTTGTATAACGGTTCCCATTAACTGTATTAGATACTATCAACTATCTCACGAATTAAATCTGTGCAGAGAAATGGCAAGATGTTTGTGTTTTCTGAACTAGACCACATTGCAGCTGTAAGGGAACCTGACATAACTCCTCTGGGGCAGTTGCATTCAAGCCAGGAAAGTGGGGGTGGGGGCGGAGAGCGAGGAGCATCACAGCCAAACCATGACACGAAGATGTTGGAGGAGAAGTGCGGTGAGGCACATTCACATGTCTCATGTTTCTTCCCGGGGGAGGCGAGGAACTGGGACCAAGCATGTCTTCTTTTAAAGGAGAAAACCTTGTGTCGGTGAAGTGACACAGAGCCTAGGGTAGCCAAAGTAACAAGTATTATTTCAGGCAGTTTTTTTGTTGAAACTCACCTTAGTTGGAGTCAATGTAAAGTTAGGAGTGCACAACTAATTTTAGGGGGTTTTTTGTTTGGTTGATTTTTTTAAATTGGAGTATAATTACTTTACAATGTTGTGTTAGTTTCCACTGTACAACGAAGCAAATCAGCTGTATGTGTACATATATCCTTCCCTCTTGGACCGCCCTCCCTCCTACCCATCCCTCCTCTCTAGGTCACCACAGAGCACTGAGCGGAGCTCCCTGCACTATACAGCAGGTTCCCAGCAGTTTCCCACTAGCTGTATGTTTTACACAGGTGTCAATCCCAATGTCCCAGTTCCTCCCACCCTCCCTTTCCCCCACTGTGTCCACATGTTCATTCTCTACATCTGTGTCTCTGCAAATAGGTTCATCTGTACCATTTTTCTGAATTTCACATATATGTATTAATAAGACAATAAATTTAGTTATGTGACCTAGGAGAAAAGCTATGTAACTGTATTAAATGCCTATGGCAGTTTAATTTGGTGTGCCACACCAGTGGTTACACAGGGTACATGTACATTGAGGTATATAGTAGCTTTCCTATTTGCCTGACTAAAAAAGTTTATTTTGACTTTCTGAGAAGTTTAATATTTTATTACAGACTGTCTGGTAAAACCGTCAGTGCAATTAAGCGAGAGTATTATTTCAAAAGGGACAAGCACTGCAGTCTAGAATGTGCATGCATGCTCAGTCACTTAGTCGAGTCCGACTCGTGTGACCACATGGACTATAGCCTGCCAGGCTCCTCTGTCCATGGGATTTCCCAGGCAAGAATACTGGAGCGAGTTGCTGTTTCCTCCTCCAGGGGATCTTCCCGACCCAAGGATCGAACCCTTGTCTCCGGTGGCTCATGCATTGGCTGGTGTTTTCTTTACCACTGAGCCCCCTGGGAAGCACAGTCAAGAATAGAGGTCAGCAAACTTTTTTCCATGAGGAGACAGATAGTAAGTATTTTAGGCTTTGCAACCTGTGCACTCTCTTGTCAGGAGCACGCAGTTCTGCTAGTGCAGTATGAAAGGAGCTGTGTATGGTAAGACAGTATGTAAATGAATAGTGTGATTGTGTTCCCACAAAGACAGTAGGCTGGGGACTTGCCTGGTGGTCCAGTGGTTAAGACTTCGCCTTCCCATACAGGTGTGTAGTTTCAGTCCCTGGTTAGGAAGCTAAGATCCCACATACCTCAGGGTCAAAAAAACAAAACATAAAACAGGAAATGTTGTAGCAAATTCAATTAAAAAAAAAAAAATGATCCAAATCAAAAAACTTAAAAAAAAAAAAAAAGTTAGGAATGAAGACCTTAGATGTAAGCTGGAACTCCTTATTTGCTTTTCTCATGGTAGAATACATTCCATTTTTGAAGAAATGTTTTGATGGACTGGGTGAAATATGATTTATACAGCTGTGTATAGTTTTCTAACAGGTAGCCAAGTAGGTAGATGTTTTTGAGCATTTGCCCTTAGCATTGTATGCTAGATACCTCTCAGCAGTCCTACAATAGAAATCACTGTCCTCATTTCACAGATTAGAAACCTAGACTTGGAAATTAAACAGCAGATGCAATTCAAGCAGTTGAAACACCTGTATATTATATTTGTAAACTATTTTTAATGCAGTGGATGTAGGAAATGTAGCCAGATGCCCAGTAAACCCTCAGCTTAAATTGGAACATTGGTAAAATTCTAACCTACAGGATGAAGCAGGTTGTGACCCTTGCTTACCAGTTTATTTTCCTGTTTCTGAACTTGTAAAGGGAACAAATTTGTTTTTACATGAAGGTAATTTGTATGCCTTTTGGTTTTCTGCCAATGATGTATCTCACTTCCTCCTACTAGATCACATATTTCAGGGTAAAGCACCAATTGTCATTTTCATGACTGAGCCGCTATAGTTGGAGCATATGATATGTACAAATGTTTTTAATACTGTGACTTTGAAACAGATTTGTCTTCATGGAAACAGTGCAATTAGTATACCTGGTTTTGATTTGTTACAGGCAACAGAACATTGAGGAAAACATGACAATAGCCATGGAAGAGGCTCCGGAAAGTTTTGGCCAAGTAGTGATGCTTTATATTAACTGCAAAGTGAATGGACATCCTGTGAAAGCCTTTGTTGACTCAGGTGCCATCTCTGTCTTTTGCTTCTTTGTCTCTACATCCAGCATTCTGATCTGACGCAGGGAGAAGGGGAGACTGGTGTCTGTATTCCTTTGGATACCTAACTAACAAACCCAAGGGCTTTTGTTTCACTTGCCAATTTTTTCTTTGTAGTAGGTTTCTCTTTAATTATTGCTTAACCAGTTTTGTATTTTGCAATGTCTTCTTTATCTTCCTACCTTCCGTACTTGGCATCCTAATTTGTAGGATGCTTCTGTAAAATATTGGAGAGTAACTGGGTTTAAAATAAGGAACTATAAGGAAGTGTGTAGAGGTCAAGCAGATATTTGAGCTTAGTCTGTGTGCCAACACTTTACTGTGAGCTGTGAGGAATGTAAGGGTGTATGGGGCATGGCTCTTGCCCTTAAAGAACTTAATAGCCAGGTCAGGAGTGAGGAGTTCCCCACTTGAGGATTCAGATACTGCCTGTACTAAGTGGCACCTTTTCTCTCAGTAACAACTCACTGCTTTTTAGTAAGACCACACAGAGCAGCACCATGTGTGTGTCAGGTGGTCTTCTGCCCTCATTCCAGGTATCTCACTTGAGGCTGTGAGTTAGGGTATGTTCCTAGCATAGTAAAAACCCCTGCTCAAGTAGGTTTTCCTCCGCTTGTTCATCCACAAAATACCTGAACGCGTGCTAGGTTTCAGGTGTATACCTTCCTGGGAGGAGTGAATCTGCTGATTATTCAGTTTTTAAAATGTTTATGAAGTGCCGAGTGCTTGGGGGTAAGACTGGAGTTTCATAGGCCTCCTATGAGTGAGAGACAAATTCCTAAGAGGCTCTGAGATAACACTTGGCATTTATTGAGCCCCTACGATGTGCCAAGCAACATGCTGGGTGCTTAATGTATATCATCTTCCATTTTGTTTAATCCTCTTATTACGCCTATGAACTATGTTTTGTTACCTCTATTTTACAGATGAGGAAACTTGTAGACATAGACAGGCAAAGCCAGTCTTGCAGGTGTACACAGTTCATGAGTAGTAGGCTTTGGGTAACACCCCAGATCTACCTGAAGCCAGAACTCTAAACCACTGTGTAAAAATCGAGTGCATCTTGGATGAACATAAAGACCACATTCTCACTCTGACTGGGGTGCTCAGGTGTTGACTTGAGCCTTGAGAAAAGGCAGGAGAGCGGTGCAAGGGACCCTTGTCATTTTGGGTTTGCAGACTTTACATCAGTAACTAGCTTTTGTGGAGTGAAGAAGGAAGAAAAAAAAAAGAATAGCCTTCCTAAAATCCCTTTTCCTTCATTATTTCTGGACCTTTGTGATGCTAACATTCCTCGAATGCCAAAGAACTTTTTAAGTGCCCATAAACTGTAAGTTATCTTGAGTAATATGAACAGAAAGTGTTGGAATTGAGTGAGAGGAGAGATCACTGGGAAAGGACAGTCAGCTGGGAAGGTGGGTCTTGAGCTGGGCCTTAAAGCATCAGTGGAATTCAAAGGAAGTGAAAGGAGAGGAGAGGGTACTGTACAGGAGGGTCAGAGTAAGTAAGAGGCAAAGGAGACACATTCCTCCTGGTAACATGGAAGCTTTAGGAGTCAGGATGTAAGGCTGGTGTCTGAATCTGTCCAGGCTGCTGTGACAGATACTGTAGACTGGGTGGCTTGTAAACAACACCGATTTATATCTCAGTTCTGGAGGCTGAGAGGTTTGGCTGGCAGATATCGTGCCTGATTCCTAGTTCATAGATGACCATCTTTTCCCTGTGTCCTCACATGGCGGAAGGGGACGAGGGAGCTCTCTGGGGGCTCCTTTATAAAGGCACTAAATCCCATTAATGAGGACTCCACACTCATGACCTAATCACCTCCCAAAGCCCCACTTTCTAATGTGGTCACATTGGGATTAGGTTTTAACATGAGTTTTGGAAGAACACATTCAGTCTGTAGCAGCTCGAAATAATTGGACCAGGGTAAGGTGGGATCTAAGGCTGTGGTGATGTGGTTTAAAGCTGATGTTTTCTTTGAGCAGATGAATAAGTGATCTGAAGGAGGTAGTATTTTAAGAAGATTGAAGAAAGTGACAGTTCTGGAGTATTCTATAGCCCTCAGGATCAGAACTATTTCCTTGCTTTAAATTACACCCTCACAGAGTGATTTGGAAACCAGAGAAATTGTCCACTAGCTAGAGGGCTAGAGTGTGAGCTAGGGTGATGGCTATGGTTAGAAGCAGAAAGGTCAGAAATTGCCCAGAATTTGTTAACAGTTTGTAACTCTCAGTTTGAGAGTGGGAAGAAGACTGTAAGAAGACGGGTTGAAAGTGAACAGTGCCTGTGTTTTATGGTCATAAGAAAAAGAATTCCATTGGCAAGGAGAGAAATCCAAAGAGAGAATTATTTGGGGAGAAAGAGTATTATACCTAGTGGTTTTGTGAAAGACAGGTCCACCACTCAGGGAGGTGGAACCAGGTTCTCTGGGAGAGATTAGGACTCTAGAGAAAGATGAGAGAAGTGACTGTGTTCTGCTCAGGCTCACTCCAGCCTCCAGCTGTGTGGGTGAGTGTATAGCCAGGAGAGAAGAGAAAAGGCCTCAGTGACTTCTTCCTCGTGGGAAAGAGGGTCTAATTGTTGGAGCAGAGAATGGAGACTTGATGAGAGATTACATGATTTATTTTTTAACTGGTCAATTAGAGTGTCCCAGAGTTTGAAATAAAAATAACTTGGTAAGATGTTTAGAGATACTCAGTGAAAACTGATCCAAGCAGCCAGTGCTTGAGTGTTTCCATCTGTAGACATAGTCTGACTTTTTGGAAATCCTTTCCAAGTAGTTTTTGGTTTCTGTTTTTAAAGTTTAAAAATGTCATATAATTATTATATTTAAACAATACTATTTCCCTCAACAGCAAGTTTCCACACCATGTTTCAGATGACGGTGTGAAACTGAAAGTTGAACTAAGTGTGGCACGAAGCCTGCTAGGTAGGAAGAATTTCATACTGACAGAAGCCTGGGAGTAGACTTGCTTTCTGCCCTCTTCTTAGTGCTGCACTTTTTCATCTTCCCACACATGAGGGTTTGGTTCTCCCCCTCCTCCAGGTGCCCAGATGACTATTATGAGCCAAGCTTGTGCAGAAAGGTGTAACATAATGAGGCTGGTAGACCGCCGGTGGGCAGGAATCGCGAAAGGAGTGGGCACTCAGAAGATCATTGGAAGGGTACATCTAGGTGAGTGAGGGGTGCTGGGGGTCTTCGTAGAGTGGTAGACTGTAAAAGTTCCTTTTGGACAGGGGCATCTGATCCAGCACGCCTAATCCTTAGAAATTTTAAATCCTGTTTGTTATCCGAATTATACATGTACCATCAGTTCAGCTGGTTACAAAAAAGAAACCACTAGTCCCCTATGTACTTCTTTTATTTCCTGCTCTTCAGAGATAATCCCTTTCCACTGTTTTCGTTGATTTCTTTTCCGTGCTTACCTCCATGTTTCTAAATAACATGATTTCAGTGCTATACTGACATGACTATGTAAGTACCATTCAGAGCTAAGCCATTTAATTGAAAAAGATTGTTTCTCCTTTCATGTCTAGTGTATTTTCTCAGAATTAGTAGTTGTGCTGCCTGTGTGTGTGTGTCATTGGTTTTTTTATGTGTTACTCATCCCTATACACTTATTCGTGTGTACATCTCCTTTATACATGTCATCCTATTGAAGAGGTTTCTTTCAACCTAGCCTGGTGGTTCAGGGCTGTTTTATAGCTGCTGTTTTGGAATCTGGGTCCTGAAGTGTGCCTTTTGCTTCAGTCTTAATGCTGGATAATATGGATCCCATACTTTTTTCTTTTTGGCACACCTCAGTTTATTAAAGTACATCTTCCAGTAACTCCCTGAGAAAAAGTGCACAGAAATAAAGTGGGTCCTTAAATATCAGAACATTATCTTTCTTTCTCTACATTCTACCAGGCTAAGTTGGAAGTCACTTTGCTTCATGATTTTTATCAGTGTTGCTTTGGAGAAGCTGGCTGCTATTCTAACTCTTGATCATCTACGTGTGAGATTTCTCTTCCCTTTCTGAAGCTTATAGATCTTCTCTTTGACCTCACTCTTTTAAAATTTCACAACCATGTACTTGGGTGTAGATCTCTTTTCATCTACTGTGCTAGATAACCTTTCAGTCTGGAAAAATGGTTCAAGTAGAATAATCTACTGTCATGGACTTGTCCTCTAGTTTTATTTTCTTTCATTGTGTTCGGGGAAAGAAAACAAGATTTCTTCAACATTGCCTTCTAACCTTTATGTTTGGTATAGTTTTCTTTCATGTTAGATGGTTTTTTCAAATCTCTGGTGATCCTTGGCATCTGCTCATATTGAAGAATGAGACACCAGAAGGCTGTTTGGAAGATTAGTTGGGTGGGCAGCCCTGGTGATTGTGGGTAATCTGTAAGTTGGGATGGAGAAAAAGGCTAGTCTCAGTAAGCTCCCACTGAACCTGCCCCCTCCCCACCCACCTCAGTTTTCAGTTTGGTGCTTGTTGTATCTCTGTCTTCCTTTATGCCCACCTCTATTACAAGAGCCTCTGGTTCACCGCCTTAAGAAAATAAACCTCCAATCCACTATTGAGGGGAGGTGAGTAGTCACCTGGCTGAGCAGAGTGTGGGGGGTTGGGGGGGCCAGGGTCCATCTGGACTGTCGTAAGATCTGCAGCCGGTGCTCCTGCTTGGGGCTCACTCCACTCCTGTTGGCAGAGGTATTTGTTTCAACCAGCTCATCAGCTTCTTGAGAGTTCTGTGATGTTAGAAAGGGTTGCTTGTTAGTTTCTTACTGTCATCTGCTTTCTAGTTCCAAAATTGTGTTTCAGTTGTCTCTCCCATTATTTTTGGCTTAAGAGATTTGTGCCTTTAAAAAGAAAAAAAAAATGACTTTTTATTGTGGCTTTTTTTAGGAGTAAATTGAGTTAAGTAAGTTGTGTTCAGTCCTTTGTCTTTAATCAGAATTGTTCTTTTTGTGTTATTTCTTTTCGTTATCCATGTAAATGCTCATTATAGAGAATTTCAAAGCGTAGATGTGAAAAGAAGTGAAAAATAATTCTTTTAGGTGAGACTCAGTAGGAGCATCCAGACATAACCCTTTCTGGTATCTTATTCTTGTAAAAGGTGATCATGTAATATGTAGAATTTTATACTTCCTTTTTAGAAAAAGTAGCATTTCCCAAATGCCAGTATAAATTTCATAAGCATCATTTAAATAAATGCATAGCATTCTGTTGTATGGGTTTAGTGGTCAATCTTTGGAGTATATTTTTCCCCTAATATTTTGTCATCATAACATGGACATGCATTTATGTTTAGTGTTGATCCCCCCCGACCCCCTCAGTGAAACTACTAAATTCAAGATTGTGAATACCTTTTAAGGCTCTTGATGTCATTAAATGTTACCAATTTACTGGGTTCTCCAGCACTGATTGAATATTCATCTTAATATCTTTATACAATCAAGTATTATTAGTTTTTTGTAGATAAACAACTGATTTTTCACTTTAACTGTAAGTATACTTTTCTTTCATTGCAAGTGATAGTTTTTCTACCCTTTCTCCTCTTCATATTTTTCTTTCATTTTTCCTATTTTAATACATTTGTCTGATAGTCTCCATGTTTTCTATTATTGATTTCTGTAGAATAAGGATAGTTTAATACCTTATTCTTATATACTTTCTTACACACAGTAGGACTAAAATTGGGGGAGAATACCACAAACCAGTTGCTTCAGAGTCTGAATTCTTACTGTTTTTATGGTTTTTAGTGAGAAGGTAATAGGGGACAAAATAAGTACCAGTCCCTTGTGTCCTTTTGGTTGGAGAACTTGTACCATTTTGCAACTTTGGCCATGATAGGTGTCAAGAAAACCTTATAACAATAAGGAAGTCTAAATAAAGGAAAGATACAACATGGACAGGAAAGTTCAATGTGTTGAAGGTGCTACTTTTCCCACATTTGTCAACAGAAACATTGGAATACATTCAAAACTCCAGTAAATTGTTCTTTTGTGTGTGTGTATGTGAGACTTGATGTGTTAATTTTAAATTTTATGTAGGCCCTTTGTGGCAGGAGTAGTCAAGATACACTGGAATAACTTCCTCTACTAGATATCATTATTATATCTAGTATTATTATTTAACTTATATGTGGAGTACCTCATGAAATGCTGGGCTGGATGAAGCACAAGCTGGAATCCAGATTCCCAGGAGAAATGCCAATAATTTTAGTCGTATATGCAAATGATACAATCCTAATGTTAGAAAACGAAGTGGAACTAAAGAGCCTCTTGACGAAAGTGAAAGAGGAGTGTGAAAAGGCTGGCTTAAAGCTCAACATTCAGAAAAAGAAGATCTTGGCATCCGGTCCCATCACTTCATGGCAAATAGATGGGGAGACAATGAGAGACTTAATTTTCTTGGGCTCCAAAATCACTGCAGATGGTGACTACAGCCTTGAAGTTAAAAGACACTTGCTCCTTGGAAGAAAAACTGTGACAAACCTAGACAGCATATTAAAAAGGAGAGAGATTACTTTGCTGACAAAGGTCCATCTAGTCAAATCTGTGGTTTTTCCAGTAGTCGTGTATGGATGTGAGAATTGGACCATAAAGAAGGCTGAGCACCGAAGAATTGTTACTTTTGAATTGTGGTGTTGGAGAAGACTCTGGAGAGTCCCTTGGACAGCAAGGAGATCCAACCAGTCAACCCTACAGGAAATCAATCCTCAATATTCATTGGAAGGACTGATGCTGAAGCTGGAGCTCCAATACTCTGGCATCCAATACTCTCACCTGACGTGAAGAGCTGACTCATTAGAAAAGACCCTGATGCTGGGAAAGATTGAAGGCAGGAGAAGGGGACAACAGAGGATGAGATGGTTGGACGGCATCACCGACATAATGGACATGAGTTTGAGTAAGTTCCAGGAGATAGTGAAGGACAGGGAAGCCTGGCATGTTGCAGTCATGGGGTCACAAAGAGTCGGACATGACTGAGCGACTGAACGAACAGCTAGATATCAAGACTGAAGACTAGAACAGGAATAGACCCATGCTTATGTGAACCTTGAAAAATGACAGGAAATCTTATGGAGCGGTGGGGAGGTGTTGGGAAATGTGCTCGAAGAATTGGGGATCTGTATGGAAAAAGGGACAATTGACAGTTGGACCCTGTCTCACATAACATACAAAAGTCAACTCAAGGTTGACTAAAGGCCTGGTTGTGTGAGGCAACATCAGAGTTTTTAGAGGAAAATATAGGCGAATGTCTTATGTAGGGAAGGGTTTCTTTAAAAGATAAGGAAATTATTTGATAAATATAGCCAATTAAGATTAAGAACTTTTCATCAAATACAGTGAAAGTGAACAAACTAGGAAAGAACTTAGTAACATATATAACTAATAAAAGATTCATATTTAGAATTATGCATATTCTGTGTGTCTATATATCCTCCAACTCAGTGAGACTGGTATATAAAAAATTACAGAAACATTTGAACAAGCACTTTAAGAGGAAACTCAAATGGCTAGTAAGTGTGTAAAAATTGCTTTATTTCATTAATCAGGGAAATAGAGAATTACTTGCCATATTTTAGATCGAATAATATTGAGTGTTGGGAGAAGGTGGAATGGTGGCACCTTTCCAAAAACCACTGGAAACATTTTGGAAAATAATTCAATATCAAGTAGAGCTGAGCCTAATATATCCCCTAAAGTCCTTTATGTTTTTAGAGTATACCATTGAGACGCTCATGGCATGCCAGGAGATAAGCACAAGAATACTTAGGTTAGCATTGCTTACAGCAGCAGAAACTGGAAGCAGCCTGGCAATTCCATAGCACCAAAATGGATAAATCAGTGGTAGTGTCTTAGACATTACGGTGCTTTCTCTTGCTTACTCTTACTTACTCTTAGAGGTGGGGTAAGTGAAAGAAATAGTCACATGCATCCACAGGAATAAAATATCTCAAAATATCTTGAGAAGCAAGTCATAGTTTAAAACCACAGAACTAACCAAAATGTTGCTTAGACATCATACAAAATAGAACTATTAAAAAGAAAAAGCGGTGAATGTTTAGCATAAAAACCAGGATAGTTGGAAGGGTTGGAGGAGGAAAAGAATAGGCTGTGAACTTCTTAGTTTTCTGTTTCTCAACCTGGGAAGTAGATGCATAGGTATTTGTTTTATTATGCTTTATACCATATATATATATATATATGTATCTCGCATACTTTTCTGTTCATAAGATATGTGTACACATATCTTAAATGTGTACACATATCTTAGTTGCTCAGTTGTGTTCAACTCTCTGTGACTCCCTGGACTGTAGCCCATCAGGCTCTTCTGTCTATGGAATTTTCCAGGCAAGAATACTGGAGTGGGTTGTCATTTCCTCCTCCAGGGGATCTTCCCAACCCAGGGACAGAACCCACATCTCTTTGCATTGAAAGAGCGATTCTTTACTACTGAGCCACCTGGGTTTCCCAAGATACAGTTAATGGCAAAGTAATTTTCTTAAAAGATCTTACATATAAAATATGAGGAGTAATTGAGGGATGGAGGCAATGCAGGAGACTTCAAGCAAAGAAACTTGACTATAACAAGCAGTAGTAAAATTGGAGGAATTTGTCTTGGTCTTTTTTCTTTTTAAAGATAGATTTATTGATTGATTATGGCTGCCCTAGGTCTCTGTTGCTGTTTGCAGGCTTTCTTTAGCTGCGGCAAGTGGGGGCTACTCTCTAGTTGTGGTCCATAGGCTTCTCATGGCAGTGGTTTCTCTTGTTGTGGAGCACAGGCTTAAGGCATGCAGGCTTCAGTAGTTAAAGCTCTTCTTTTCCTTAAAAAATTTTTTTTCTAACTTTAAACTTTTTATTTAGTATTGAGGTATAGCCAATTAACAATGTTGTGGTAGTTTCAGGTGAACAGCGAAGGAACTCAGCCATACATATACATGTATCTAGTCTCCCCCAAACCTGCCTCCCATCCAGGTTGGCACATAACATTTGAATGGAGTTCCATGTGCTGTACAATAGATCCTTGTTGGTTATTGATTTTGAATATAGCAGAGTGTACATGACCTTACCAAACTCCCTGACTATCCCTCCTGGCAACCATAAGGTTGTTTTCTAAGTCTTGTCAGTCTCTTTCTGGTTGTAAGTTTATTTTTATCATTTCTTTTTAGATTCCACATGTAAGAAATGTCATAGAGTATTTCTCCTCTGTCTGACTTACTTACTCAGTAGACTCCCTAGGTCCATCCATGTTGCTGCAAATGGCATTATTTCATTCTTTTTAATAACTGAGTAATATTCTATTTTATATATGTACTACATCTTCTTTATCCATCTTTTTTTTTTCTTTTTTTTTTTTCATTTATTTTTATTAGTTGGAGGCTAATTACTTTACATCATTGCAGTGGTTTTTGTCATACATTGAAATGAATTAGCCATGGATTTACGTGTATTCCCCATCCCGGTCCCCCCTCCCACCTCCCTCTCCACTCGATCCCTCTGGGTCTTCCCAGTGCACCAGGCCCGAGCACTTGTCTCATGCACCCAACCTGGGCTGGTGATCTGTTTCACCCTAGATAATATACATGTTTCGATGCTGTTCTCTTGAAACATCCCACCCTCGCCTTCTCCCACAGAGTCCACAAGTCTGTTCTATACATCTGAGTCTCTTTTTCTGTTTTGCATATAGGGTTATCGTTACCATCTTTCTAAATTCCATATGTATGTGTTAGTATACTGTAATGGTCTTTATCTTTCTGGCTTACTTCGCTCTGTATAATGGGCTCCAGTTTCATCCATCTCATTAGAACTGATTCAAATGAATTCTTTTTAATGGCTGAGTAATATTCCATGGTGTACATGTACCACAGCTTCCTCATCCATTCGTCTGCTGATGGGCATCTAGGTTGCTTCCATGTCCTGGCTATTATAAACAGTGCTGCGATGAACATTGGGGTGCACGTGTCTCTTTCAGATCTGGTTTCCTCGGTGTGTATGCCCAGAAGTGGGATTGCTGGGTCATATGGCAGTTCTATTTCCAGCTTTTTAAGAAATCTCCACACTGTTTTCCATAGTGGCTGTACTAATTTGCATTCCCACCAACAGTGTAAGAGGGTTCCCTTTTCTCCACACCCTCTCCAGCATTTATTGCTTGTAGACTTTTGTATCCATCTTTTTTTAAATTCTTAATGCCAGCTTTCCTCACCAGATGAGCATGTATCCTAAAGGTATCACATATCAAGCCAGGTTTTGTGAGTATTGTTTCTGCCCAATCCACTTTATGAGCTGATGCCTTCACTGTTTTTTAACCAGATTATTTGTCTTACTGAATTTTCATACTTTACTCACTTGTTTGAGTGCTTTGGCTTGGCTTTGACTGATTGCAGGAAGAAAAGCACAGAATGATAGATGTATTTCTAAACTTTGCCTTGAAAAAATGATAACCTTTTCCTTTCTTCATGTGCTTTAGCTCAGGTTCAAATTGAAGGTGATTTCCTGGCGTGTTCCTTCTCCATACTTGAGGAACAGCCCATGGACATGCTTCTGGGACTGGATATGTTGAAACGGCATCAGGTAATTAAGAGTTTCACTTTGTTTTCACATTGGCTTTTTGTGACTTACATGGTTATTACTGCATATTCCCTTGGTTGTGTATACTGAAAAACTAAGAAGCATGACTTCCAACCTGGAAAGGTCCTTAATTGATGATATTGTCATACACAGTTTGAAATTACATATCAGTAGAAATAGAATCTTTTTGTGAAATCTTTCTGAATCTATTGAATCCTACCATCTGTTTTGAGACTGTAGTGGACAGTTTGGTTCTCTTGTGTAAGTTTTAGCTTCTGAGTTGTTCAAAGTTGCTAAGTCATGTCCAGCTCTTTGCAACCACATGAACTCAACACTCCAGGCTCCTCTCTCCTCCACTACCTCCCAGAGATTGCTCAAATTCATGTCCATTGAGTCAGTAATGCTATCTAATCATCTCATCTTCAGTCACCTGTTTCTCCTTTTGCCTTCAGTCTTCCCCAGTATCACTGGAGGAGGAAATGGCAAACCACTCCAAGTTTCTTGCCACAAGAACCCCGTAAACAGCATGACAAGGCAAAAAGTTTCTGAGTAGAACTCAAATAATTTTTTGATGAATTTGTAGGGCTATGAACATAATACACAATGATGATTTTACTGTGAGTTTAAGTTTAGTAAATCCTTAGTAGTTGAAAACAGTACTTGGGAAGAAAGGTATCGAGATTAAGGGAGAAGATTACATAAGATGTTGGAAATGGAAATGTTTGTTTAATACAGGAAGAATAATTTATAAATGTGTTAATTTGCAGTGGTTTTTATATTTCTACTCTGAAGCCTAATAATGTGTTGAAACAAACTCATTGAAGAAGGAATTAGTGTGCTCTTGGACAGTAAAAATTCACACAACAAGGTTTCATATCTTGTCAATATTTTTATGTCACTAATGTTTTGTTAAGTTTTTTATTGCAGTGTAGTTGATTTACAGTATGTGTTAGTTTCTGCTGTACAGCAAAGTGAGTCAGTTATACATATATCCATTCTTTTTTTATATAGGTTATTATGTAGGGTCCTATATAGGGCTTCCCTGGTGACTCAGAGGTTAAAGCATCTGCCTGCAATGCGGCAGACCTGGGTTCGATCCCTGGGTTGGGAAGATCCCCTGGAGGAGGAAATGGCAACCCACTCCAGTATTCTTGCCTGGAAAATCCCATGGACAGAGGAGCCTGGTGGGCTTTACTCCACGGGGTAGCAGAGTCGGACACGACTGAGCGACTTCACATACAGGTTATCACAGAGTATGACTAGAGTTCCCTGTGCTACGCAGTAGGTTCTTCTTAGTTACCTGTTACATATACTGTAGTGTGTAATGTCAGTTCCAGTCTCCCAATTCATCCCTCCCCCTTTCCTCCCTCGTTTTCTATGTCTGTGGCTAAGTTTCTATTTTATAAATAGGTTCATTTGTACCATATTTTTAGATTCCACATATACAGAATATCATATATTGTCTTTGTCTGATTTACTTCACTCAGTATGATGGTTCCTAGGTCCATCCATGTTGCTGTAAATGGCATTGTTTCATTCTTTTTTATGGCTGAGTAATATAAAAGTAGGAATGCTTCACAAATTTGCATGTCATCCTTGCTCGGGCAATACTAATTTTCCCTGTATCATCCTACATCATTCCATGTATGTACTAGCAGCACATAGTATATGTGCTGCTAAAGTAGCATGCTAATTTTCTTTTCTAAATGTTTAATATTAAATTCCCACTAAAATATATTGCAGAATAATCAAGCTGCAGAATTTTAAGTTGAAGGAATGAGTGAATTCATGTATAAATAAAATCCAGTTAAATCTATTCTATTTTCATTGCTAATCTTTCCCTTTTTCTTTATTTTTATTTTATTATTTTTTTTAACTTCCCCTATTTTTAAGTCATGATATAGATTAGCAGTCTCCAGCTTTACAGATTCAAAACATATGTGTGTAACTGTCCCATACTAAGTAATTGTAAAAATATACTGAAAAGGAGGCTAGCATAAATATGAAATGCAGAATATTTTTTTGAAGTGCTTGCCTTGTCATCCATATACGACTTTTGAGACCATTAGTATAGACTTTAAATAGAAGCTGTACACTAAGCAAAAAGCAAAAGTGTGCAACTATAAAACTTGAGACATACCTTTTATATAGTTGTATTTTTTTTTTAAAAAGTCATTTATGTGTTTCTAAAAGGTGTGGCTTTGGATTATGCCTGGTAGTTTTCCAAATTTTTTGCAGTGAACAGATGCTGCATTTAAATTCAGATGTGAACCATTTCTGTATTTGACAAATAAGTGTGAAGTATATCCGGTAGAGAATATTCTGCTATACAATTTAAATATTTTTAAAAATTCTAAATTAAAAGTGTCACGTAGATTAAGTAAAATCGGTTTTGTTTTGTTTTTTTGTTTTGAGTCATATCTGTCAATGTTGTTCTTTATGAATGGAGTTGTGAAGTTCAGGGTCATAATTTTCCTGCATCGTGTTTTTTCTGCTATCATCTGTCTTTGGTTTCTTCTTTCTAAGTGTTCCATTGACCTCAAGAAGAACGTACTCGTGATCGGCACCACAGGCTCGAAGACCACCTTCCTTCCCGAGGGGGAGTTACCAGAGTGTGCCCGGTTGGCATATGGGGCCGGGCGAGATGAAGTACGGCCAGAGGAGATTGCAGACCAAGAACTGGCAGAAGCCCTTCAAAAATCCGTAGAGGATGCAGGTATTTGGAACAGCCGAGCTTGCAAGTAATACTCTAGTTATTGGTGGGTGAGCCAGGGAAGTTCGGGCCTCAAAGGGGAATAAGGACCAGTTCATAATCCATCTCATCACCCTGTTGTAGGTGTCTTCTTGTCTTCTTACTGCCTCCTCGCATCTCCGCGTACAATATAGGAAAGCCCCCGTGTTTCGGTAGATCCAGAGGCAGCTGTCCGTTGGTGTGTGCAGGGTACACTGGGGAGTTCTTTGCTTTGCACGTTTTGGTGGGACTCATAAAGAGTCTTTCTTGTCTTTTTCTCTTTTCCTGAAGAAAATAATAACAGTAAGCAGACACTTCCTTTTGAGTTGAACATTTCCTGGAAATTTTCTTTTTTATTTCTTAGGCCCATTTACTTTGGAGGATGACATAGTGTCTGTAACTGAGCAACCCTAACTTTAATATCTACTGAAAGTACTTCCACCTAAGGCTTCCTCCTCCACCACTGGAGTCTCAGTTGTTGTAGCTTCTTTAAAGAACAAACCAAGTTTTCTGGGGTAAAAATGGAGGGATGCAGTTACGCTGAAATCTCACATCTGTGGATAAGTTTTTTTCCCGTGTGTTACATATCAGTGACTCTGGGATATCTTCTAGAAGCTGAAGAGAAGTTTGAGTTATTTTAATGTCTTGAGCTGTAATTGTGCATTAGTGACTAGTATCACACATGGCATTTGCTGATAAAGTAAAATATATTAGAGCTGTAAGTTGAGGGAATAGCTTTCTCCTAAAGACCAAAGAAAAAAAGATAAGGGTTTTAACAAAAAGCAGCCAGATTTTGCCAGTGCATGTCGCTGGAGAATATCCAGTGATCTAACCTTGAGACTCTTTAGAGTAAGTGTGGTTGCAGGTGGAGCTTCCAAGCTGGCTTTGTTCAGAATCTACTCCACCACCACCTTTTGACTCAGTTTACATATCATATCAACTTGGATGGTGATTTAGTATTTTGTATGAAAGGGGGAATTTTGAGCAACCTGACAGATAATAGTTTTAACCTTACCCACAAGGCAAACTTGAAGGGTTTGACATACTTACTTAGAAGGTATTTGTGTTTTTGTTTTTTTTTTTTTGTAACTTGTCATCTTAGTTATAATGCTATTTATTAATAAAATGAGCGTGTATTATCATTTTGTGAAACCTCTATTCTTCCCCCCCACAGTTTTGGTGCTTTCATTTGAGAAACACCAGCTGGCAGTAGCCGTGCTTTATAACCTACTAACCTCAGGCCCATTTACTTTGGAGGACGACATTGTGTCTGTGACTGAGCAACCCCTAACTTTAATATAACCGTTACCCTCTTTGAGTAATTATTTTCTTTTAATAAAAAGTTTTGGAGATTAAAATAGAAACCACAGATGTTTTCAGCCATAGTGAAGGGGGTATACCAGTTTTAAAGGATTAGAAGGAAATGGCTCTCTACCTGAGTGATGACCTTTTGTTACTGAAAGTATATAGCTTGTGCTAATTTTTGTAAGGTTTAAATTGTGAGATAATTCTTCAATATCATATTGTATTTGTTTGGAACATCAGCATCCTACTGTTATTCAGAATCACCTAACTGTGAACATAGTAGATAAACATATTTTTCCCTAAAAACTGTCTCTTTGGTGTGGATACTCCATAGAAGAATATCTTTATCTTTTCTATTGATTAAAAAATAATTTAAAAATACTAATTCAGAGTATTTGAAAAAATAAAGAAGTTAAGCCAGGATAGGTAATCAGGTTTGGATTATTTTTCTTCTAAAAATAAATCTTAACTGAGAAAGAAATGTTGAAAGTTACTATCAAATGTGTTCACTCCCTTTTACTCCATAAGATTTTCATATCATGTAATTCCATCTATGGATCTACTTTTTTCATCTCTTTCACATGTTTGCCCATGAATTCTCTGTGTAGGTGTGGAAAATTAATTTCTTCCCAAGTTCTGTTGAAAATCTGTTGAAGTTGACATATTGCTTTATGTATTGTGAGAGAATTAGAGCAACTAGCAAATCTTTTTGATGTTCAAACTACAAGAACATTCCCCCACCTTGACTCTGCAGTTCCTGATCTTAAAGATGGCAAAGGAATGGAAACTGTAACCCTGCATGCTGTGTGGTTTGCATTGTTAACCCAAGTTTGCTTGTCTGTTTCCTAATTCAAACAGAGCGTCAGAAGCCATGATGCATGTAGTGTGTGTGTACTGCAGCTGGAGTGGGCCCCAGACCAGGTATTTATAGACACCACATTAAGCCTTCCACCCAGTCGTCGTCTGTGGTCTGAAAGTCTTTGTATCCACAGCAGTTCTAAAATTTAGCTTCTGTCATTCACCAGTTCACCTTGTTTAATCTGGTTACAACTAGCCTGTATGTATATATATATATTTGTATGTTGGCATACATATGTATCTAAGCACAATTTACCATTTAAAATTTTATCAGTTATTAGAAAGTCCACAGGGGAAAAAATCCCAGTGAAAACAGATGACCATTGTGAATATCAATCAAGAATATCAGCATCATAGCACTTTCTTGTTGAAGATAACCACGTTGTTAGGAATTTCATAAGTCCCTTTCTTTTGAAAAACTGGAAGTGTGTTTTTCACATTACTACACACAAGTCCCATCATTATTCAGGGGCAGCGTTTTCATCCTATTGAGGAAGAAATGGAAGCTTAGACCAGGTGACTTGGCCAGGGTCACAGAGTCAGTAACACAGGCAGGACTGAAGTTTAATCTTCTAACAAGAGCTAAAACTTGACTTTTCCCTCTCTCCCTAGCCTGACAGTTTTTCCACAGGAGGCACTCTGCTTCCATTTCCCTGTAGCATAAATATAATAAATGTCAGCCTGAGTATACTCACTGATTTATTAAAAGGAAGAAAGGCAGTCTTTTTAGACTGTCAATCTAGGAATGTATAGGGGTTTGCAGGCTGGTTGTAATTAGATACGTAGCATTTAATTGCTTCTTTCTTTCATTTTCCTCATAAGGATGGGTTAAAACAGGCATTATTATTAATGTCCATTGTCCTCATCCTCTTCTGATGTCCTGTAGTACTGACCTCATCCTCCCCTACATTTGGGACTTAGGCCAGTGAAACTTAACCATCTCAGCTACAGGAGGACTATATGCTGCCTTAATAGTGAGTACGGAATGCACTGAGGTTGGTTCACCTTCGCCTCACCCAGTTATTATAACTGACATACCATTGCCAAAGGCCATTACCTTCGCCCACCTCTCCACTGCTGACATGGACATTTCACTACAGTGCATCTTTCTGTTCCCATTAACTGAAAATTGAACCTCTTTCAGAGTTAGCTGTCCAGATTGATAAATAAAACTATTTACAGTGTTTCCAGACTCTAATGAATATATTTTGCACTGAAATACATGCTGTTCTTCTGTTTACCCCTAAACTATAAGAAAGATTGTTTCACCAGAAGTCAGTAACTTCCTGACAGAGTGTTTTATCTTTTCATGTTGTTAACCTAGGTTGGACTAGAACGATTTAGAGTCCCTTAAATCATAACTGCATTGCTTCATGACTTCTAAGGCACAGTTAACATGAAGCATTTGAGTGGCACCTGTCCTAACAATTTGTATTGTGATGTCATTTTTGTTACCAGCCTTTGACTTTTCATTAAAGATTGTGTAATAATTGCATGGAGGTCAATTTTTAGTTGGATGGATTAGTATCAGAAGGAGAATTGGAACTGAAGTTTAATGACATCATGATGTTTGTGTAGAGGTGTGGTATTTAATCCTTCCATCTTTTATGAATGGTCAGTAAGTTGCAGTGAATCTAAATTGTTATTGCCTATTGGAAAATTTATGAACTATTTCCCTCCTCTCCTCCTATATCCCTGCCCTTAAAGTAGGAAATGTTCTTTCCTAGTTATACTGTGTTAATTCGATCAAGTAACAGATACTCCAGAGTTGCGTTGTTTGGTAAGATAATAACTGAGATTTAGTCTGTTTGATCTTTACCTTTATTTTTGTTCTAAGTCAAACTCACACCGTTTTTGAAATGTTCGGTTAGAAATAGAATGTTTGCTTCTCTGTCTTCTGGATGTCCCTAAGTAGTATCACATTGTTATTTCTGAGACATAAATCCCAGATATACCTGATTTTAGACTTCTCAGGGTCCACATTTGACACACTGCAGTGAATTGGCAGGAGAATCTTGCTAGCACCGAAATCCGCAAGATTATATTGTGCGTTTAAGAATCACCTTCAAAGAAAAAAAGAACCACCTGCGTAACTTACTGAATAAAGAGACTCCTAGGTTTATTCCTCAGAATAGTGTCCTACAGTCTGTGTGCTTAGCAAGCTTCCAGGTGGTTTGAGGGCAAGTGGTAGAGAGAACACACTTGGAGAAAGTATTTTGGAGTTCTAAACCCACTGAGAGTAAAGATACATAAATGTTCTTTAGTCTTGAGGACTAACTTAACCATTCTGTGGTACCTAAATAAAAATTATTGAATTCCAGTACACATAGTTTATCAAGAACATGCCTACCTCTTATTCTGATGCTATGATGTTGTCTCCCACAATGAGAATGGTTCATGTATAAAGTCTGAATATAAGACAGATCCAAGTTTAAGGACCTGATTTTATCTTGTTTAAATTTATATCTTCTGATAATTTTGTGGCCTTTGTAACCTGCTGATTAATCTTTTTTCCTTTCACTGTCGTCCTCTGTAGAGAAAAGCGGTAAAGAAACTACCTCACTGGGAATGTCATCATTACCAACTTCAGATGGATTTAACCATCAAGCCCATCCTCCAGGACTGAGTCCTGAGATTGGTAATCCTCCAAGTCGTGCTCACTCTGTCTCTGCTTCAGTCAGCCCTATCCAGTCCAGTGACCCAGACAGCATTGAACCTAAAGCTGTGAAGGCTTTGAAGGCTTCAGCTGAATTCCAGATAACCTCTGAGCAGAAAGAACATCTTCCTCCACAGGATCTTTCTGATTGTACTCTTTCAGCAGACAGTGCTCCAGCAGACCAGAGTCCAGCTATGCCTTTGCAGAATTCACTCGAAGAAGCCATTGTTGCAGATCATCTAGAGAAATCTGCTGAAAGAAGCACCCAGGGCCTCAAATCTCATCTCCACACAAGACAGGAAGCTGATTTATCTGTCACAACTACTGGGATGCAAGAACCGCAGAGGCTCACAGGGGAGAAAGGTTGGCACCCAGAATATCAGGACCCAAGTCAGGTGAGTGGCCTTCAGCAGCACGAAGAACCAAGGAATGAACAGCATGAGGTTATACAACAGAGTGCTTCACATGACCAAGACCATCTTTGTCACACAGGGGACCTTGAACTTCTTGGAGAAAGGCAACAAAGCAGTGCTGGTTTGGAAGCTGCAATGAAAGGAGACAGGCTACAGCAGAATGTGGACCTTCCGGGTACAGAGAAAGATATTCTACCTTCAAGATGCCTTGGCTGCTCAAATTCAGAAACACTTATGGAAGTAGATATTGTCGAACAGTCCCTAGTTGCTGTGCTGAATTCAGGAGGTCAGAATACCAATGTCAGAAACATTGGTGCATCTGATCTCATCTTAGATAATCCCTTGATGGAAGTAGAAACATCAAAATGTAACCCTTCCTCTGAAATTTCGAGTAATTCCATTTCTACTCAGGATTTACAGCTTCTAGAAAGTAATGTTGAAATGTCTGAAACAGGTAAAGAATGCGGGGATCGCCCTTCCTCTTTAGTAAGTCTCTGTGGCAGTTGTCAGCCCTCTCTAGAGTCAACAGAGGAATCTTGCTCATCCATAACGGCAGCCTTGAAGGAACTTCATGAACTTTTGGTCATTAGTAGTAAACCAGCTTCAGAAAACACATTTGAAGAAGGTATCTGTCAATCAGAGACAGTAATTGAGGGCCAAGCAGGTATTAAGGATCTTTCTGAAAGATGGACCCAAAATGAGCATCTTACAACAACCCAGAGTAAACAGTGTTCACAGGTCTCCTTTCATCAGGCTATATCTGTATCAGTGAAGACAGAAGAATTAACAGACACTTCAGCTGACGCTGGAGTGGAAGATGTAGAAACTGTTAACTTGAGGGGTCCAGATGATGGCCTATTAACTGATAAGGGAGGTGTCCCCAAGTCCAAGGAGTCAGTAAACGAGAGTAGTTCTGTTACTGTAGCCTCAGCAGAAGCGTCTAATCATCTACATTGCACCTTAGGTGTAGAGATTTCACCCAGACTGTTAGCAGATGAGGAGGATACACTCAATCAGACTTCTGAGCAAACTGAGTCCTCATCACCCGCTTGCATCCTGGTTAGAGATTTGGGTCAGGGCACACAGAATCCAGTGACAGACAGGCCTGAGGCCAGGGAACATGTCTGTCCTGAAGCTGCAGGGTCACTTCTAGGATTTGAACCACCTACCAGCCATCCGTCACCAAGTCCCTCCTTTCTTGCACCATTAATTTTTCCTGCTGCAGACATTGACCGGATTCTCCGTGCTGGCTTTACTTTGCAGGAAGCTCTTGGGGCTTTGCATCGAGTTGGTGGAAATGCAGACCTTGCACTTCTTGTCTTGCTAGCAAAGAACATTGTAGTTCCTACGTAACCATGGAAAAGTGGGCTAGACCATACTCTCTTCCCTTTAAAAAAAGAAAAGCTGTATATTTACACACACACATACACACTCACCACATATACAGTATATGTAGAAACCTGCAAGCAGAATGTTGAGCCAGATTTTTTTTTTAAAGATTTTTTTTCGGCCAAAGTAATTTATGATCTCTTGTCTGATGAATTTGTCTATCCTATTTGTTAAAATTTTGGGCCTTTTTTAATGTATTGGCAGTATGTGCACACAGAAGCTTTTTATTATCATTAAGATGATGTATTCTGGAATAAAATTGATGGTTTTGTGTATAGCATACCCTTTTAGAATGAGAGTGAGTGCTTTAAAAAGCAGAAGCCATGAGAAAATCCCACCACCCATGCAGCTGAAAGCATGATGTGGCTTTGTCTGTGCTGTAGGCAAGGTATGGCTTATTGACTCATTTTTTGGTTTACAAACTTGATCACATGGTTTGATGTTTGGAATGCATTATGATTCATCGGTTGTAACAGGAAATTGAAGAATAGTTGAAGAATATTTCCTGGAGTAGCATGTTTCCATTGGTGTGGTTAGGATTTGACATTTTAATGTGATGAGTTGGGAGGGCTTAAAACTTGGGCTGCTTTGTACATCACAGGCTACTGCATGTATTGCCAGATACCTTGGGTGGGATTTTGTGAGGAAATTAACATCAGAGTGTAACATGGTGCTACCCAGATTAAAAAAAGAAAGGAAAAACTGTAATCGCAATTGGCAGTGTCGATGATGTTTCAACAACTGTTGTGAGTGAAATTATGGCCTAAACACTGGAATTTACTAGCAGTTGGGTTTGGCAGCATCTCACTTATCACATCTCAACCCTTAATGACTCATGGTGAACTTATGTTCAGCTGATGGGTTGGTTGCCAGCAGTTTATTTCCTTTCCAAACTCATCTTCTTCTAGGAAGTTCTTCTAGAGCTCAGTTTGAGCTGTGTTCTGAGTGAAATATTCAAGCGTAATAACCTTGTCACTGGTTCATCTTGGTGCTTGGAATGGTCAATCTATTTGGTGAGTGTCTTTCATGGCAGTGGAAATAACAATTGGAGTTTCTGACTCAAGTGGCCTTGGTAGAGTTTTCCATCCCTTTCTTTCCTCAGGAGTTTCTTTTTTTAAGCAAGATTCGTCATATTTGTGTTTACCATGTCAAGATAGAGTGGGGCATAGTATATAGATGTATTTATTGTGGCCTTTTTTTATATGAGGACTAGCCCTTGGAAATCATTGTCCTGTGGGCCCCACTGTGCAATAATTCTACTGGGTAGATTTTAGATTTTTTTTTTTTTTCCTGGAAGATAAACTCTCTTGTATACCTAGCAGGAATCTGAAGTCCTGGTTTTATTGAAGAGAATTTTGAGAATGATAATTCCTGATTCCAGGTGATGATTTGCAATGTGTCTGAAACAGAAGCTTCAGAAGAGTGATTTGTGAACTTTTAATGTTAAGTGATTTTTGTCTAAAGTCTTACTCTCTTTGAGAGTTTATTCTTTCTGTCAAAATTTATGTCATTGAGCACAATCAAAATGGAGGCTCATATCTCAGGAGTTTTTTAAATCTTAATTTGGGGGCACTTAGACTTTGCTCTTCTACCCTATTTCATCTTCTTTCTTTTTGCTGTGATGTTTGTATGTGTATTAGGAGCTGTGAGTGATATGATGGAAAGTCGCATAGATTCTTCATGATTCTCTGAAGTTAGGAAATGGTTGACAGAAAGAGTTGTCGCTTACCGTGTTCAGGGTGGCGCCCGAAACAAGTTGGCCAGAATTGTCTTTAAAGTGTTCTTTTAGACAATCCTGTGCTGTAGACCCTTTTGCCTGCCCTACGCCAAAGATATAAGATGCACTAGGAACCTGCTAATAGGATTTCTGTCAACCAGCTCTTAGAGCTGTGACTGTAATTAAGTAGTGGTGCTATGATTGAAGCAAAATTTAGTAGCCATGCAATGGGCCCCTGATTTGCTTTATGGGTATGATTGGGAATTTATTGTGAGCTTATAAATCTTTAGGGTTGCAAAGTGGGGTGAGTGTAGGATGGGAGGACTTATTGATGACAATAGACTCCTCCAAAAGGCCTTCTTTATAAAGATGGGCCTCTTAGTTTTCTGTATAAGCAGTTCCTCTGAACACTGCTCAGAGACTTAACCACTGAATTTTCACAATGTGGAGATTTGGGGGTCAATCCCAGGTGGGCTATAGAATATCAATCCAGAAAAGGTTTCATTACAATAGCTTTTATTGTATGTATATGTATATTTATTTCTAGGAGAAAATTCAATAGGTAGGCCTATAGTTGTACACGTATTCTTATTAGGAATACTTTGGATGAGCTTAACCCACTTGCCAAATATCCCTGTCCTTTTTCATCATTTATTTTTCAACTTATAGTTGCTTTTGATTTTTTTTTTAAATCTTCCTGTCCATTGTTTGTGTGAAAGTAAAAATTGTTGACATTGTCAGGGTTTTGAATCATTTTTAAATTTAGCAGTTCTAAAACACAAAAGGAATTAAGAAACATGACACTAGTGAACCTTCACTGTCAATTTTTATGCAAAGTGCAGAAATTAGAGATTAACTTCTCCAAGAATAAGATAAAATCATTGTGAACTCCTCTGATTGCCAGCAGAACTGGTGAGGCCAGCTATTACCAGTATGGGCTACTTTATTAGGTCGCTCTTTTGTCATCATCAGTAGTGGACAGCCTTGTGAACAGTGCTTACCTCCAAGAGTGGTGTCTGTTTATTCACCAAAGAGAGGAGAAGATTTCCTTCCTTCAAGTTGGTTCCTATGTGTAAGATGTGTTTGATAACCAGTCAGCTATAGGCTCTAGGTTTTGCCATTGTCGCTGATAAGAATTATTTCCACTTGTACTTCTTTAGGCATCCAGACATCGTCTAATAGCCTTCATCCCACCGTTTGGGCTTTATCTATTATCACAAAGATTATCAGTTGCTTGGCAAAGGGAACTAGATAGATGGTAAGTGTGTGTGAAAACTGTTCTGCCTTGCAGCCTACATAACTTTCCAGAGCTCCTTGTCTCAATACATACTGAAGGGAGACACACACCGTGTATTTTTTCCCAAAGGGAAAAGATATATGAGACTTTGTGTTACCGATTTTATGATAACCAGTGGAGGTGGAATCTGCCTGTTTTCCCCTTAGCACAGCTTTCCTATCTCTAGCAAAAGCCATAAAACTTTGGGTTGGTTTATAACCATTAACTCATGTGTATATATACATGTGTGATAGATATCCTGCAGTTAATTTTACATAGATTAAAGAGCAAGCGTTTATTAATCTTCAGATAACAGTCTTCAGTTATGGTGAAGACTTTTATCCCACCGTGTCTATAAAAAACAGCCTCGCAAGTCACTGGCCAGAAGAGTTGCAGTACCTTCTGATTCCCATTTCCTATCGGTTTGTCACCTGCAGAAAGTATAAGCAGGGCAATTGAACTGCTACATGTTTCCAACTTGCTATCACTGGTAGCATGTCATAAGAGAAGCTAACTGGATTATGCATTCTTCAGCACAAAGACCAAAAAGGCAAATTTCTCCTTTGAATTTTGTGACTTGGTGTAGTGTGTGGCTGAGCTAGAAACAAACACAGTTCTCAGAGAGTTCCCCTTCTGAGAAAATGAAAGTTATCTTTCACTTTAGGAGATCCATAAATTAAAATAGCTGCTTTCTTTCTGAAAGATTTAAACATGCCGATTTACAACAAGGTAAACTCAAAGCATGTCCTTGAGAACCAGAAATGTCAAATGGCTCAGGTCTCCCAGTAGTGGTCCCTCTATGGATGTTACTTGGGAGTTCATTGTATAAATCATAGAACTTAAGGGAGGAACCTGTGATGTGCTTGGTTTTCTCTTGTGCCTTAGTTTCTCCAAATAGCAGAGACATCAAGTTCGAGTGGGGGATAAAAGTGGAAGTATCATTGGGGTGGGGAAGGGTAGAGAATGTCTGAAATGGCCCTCCTGGGGATAGGCATGTATGGAGTTTCCTAAGGGCTCACCTTTATTATTGATTGAGAGTTATTCTGCACCAAATCATTTTATTTCCCCAGAAGGATTAGATTTCCATAGAAGGATTATGACATGGCTTTTTTGCATCAGGCATACAAAAAGCAAAAATGGTTTCTACGTGTTTATTATGTTCTTTGTTGTGCTTTCAGTATTACAGTGGTGAAAGCAGAAGTTCAAGAAATCTATTTGAACAATGAACTGTTACTCTCTCAGACTGCCGTTTGAATCTTTGAATAAAAATTTGTTATTCACTCATGAAACACTAAGTGACTGGTGAGCACTGGGGATACAGCAGTACTGAAACTGGAAACTGCCCTGTAAAGCTGACAGTCTCGTCAAGAGACATGAAACAAATCTTAGCTTCAAGTGCAAGATCTATTTTTGCCTATTAGCATCATTTATTTTAAAAGTCATACTAGGATAATTTGGTTCAAATTCAAAGAAAATGGAAAAGCAGGCTCAAGATGGAATTAGAATCTGAGAACCTAAAACTGCTCTTAAAAATGTTTTTGAAAAAATGAGATTGGAGAAACCAACAAAAAATGTTCTAACATTTGGTAGAAACACTTGAAGAGATTAAGGACAGAATTCAATTTACACTGTTGGTGAGGGGGAACAGGCAGGATAGAAGTGCAAGTAAATGGAAGATGACCTAATGTACACCAGTGACAGTCAACTTATCCTTCCATCAGGACCTCCTTCCATGCAGGGTAGAAGTATGGACTGTGCTATGGCATCCTTCCTACCATCTTTGAGTCAGCTGCTCTGAAATACTAACCATCTGGGCCAACAAGACTTAGCAGAGAATTCTGGAAGATTTGCTGTTTTAAAGCAGTTGAGTGCAAAATGTGAAAATAGAACTCTAGAGCAGAGAATGTAGCAAGCAATGGTTCTGAGACTGGATGAGGGGCAGAATTTATTTACAAGAAAATTCAGGCCTCT